GGCCGCTCCCTCTCCGCCCCGGGGGCACGGCCCAGCCCTGCTCCCCCCGGCCCCAGGGAGGCACCGCATTCACCACTGCCCTCCGGCTGCCCGCCGCGCCCTCCTGCCAGCTCCGAGGGCTTCTTCGCGGCCTTTCCCTCTCAGGGCCGGCCCCCTCTCCTCTGACCGCGGTGGAGGACGGGGATGAGGGAAATGGTTTGGGTTTGGTTTTTTGGTTGTTTCTTTTTTAAGACACAGTCCGTCTGCTTAAGTAAATCACACGGCGGCAGTCCCCCCGCAGCTCCTCGGACATAACCCCCTTCCCTTCCAGACGCCGCGGCCGCGGAAGCACCGGGCGGAGCGGGGGCGGGGAGGCAGCCGGCGCCCGCACGCCCGGCCCTCCGGGAGAGCCGGGGCGGAGCAGGAGAAGGAGCAGGAGCAGGAGCAGGCTCTGGGGCCGGGCCGCCCCCCGGGGCGCCGTCAAGGGCTCCCCGGCCCAGCAGAGCGGCCGGGCGCCACGGGGGCTTCGGTACGGTGGCGGCTTTACCTCCAAAGTGAGGACGCGGTGCTGCTCTGCTCTCCCCTCCCCGGGAGCCTCCGGACGGCCCCTCCGCACTGCTCCGCGCCCCGAGGTGCGTCTGCGGGAAGAGCTGCCCGCGCAGGGCTTAACCGGGCTGATGCATACTATAGTGAGCGGCGCGGAGGGGCTCGCTGTGCGGGCGCGGAGCGGCCAAAGCTTTTCCAGGCAGCCACGGCGGCGTTTTCTAGTAGCCGCAGAGCAGTGATTTGCTGCGATCGGGGGTAATATAATTTCCAGCTGCACAATATTAATGAGATTCTCAACAACCAGGGGAAAACTTTCAGCGGAAAGTGGCAGGTTTATTTGCTTCGCGTTAAGGGAGAGGAAAAAAAAAAGAAAAAAGACAAGCATCATCAGCCCCCGCACCTGCGGCGCTTGCCGGGGCGCTCACCTCTGCGGCGGGCCCGGCCGCGAGGCGCAGCCCGGCTCCCCGCGCGGGGCGGGTGAGGGCACGGGGCCAGCGCCCGTTCTCTTGCAACCCGGTGTTTTCTGCTTCCCCTTCCTTTTTTTGCTCGCTTTGCCCCCTCGCCGCGGTCACAGGAGGCAGGGGCGGCTTCGCTCGCCTTGCCCGTGGCTCTCGCTTGCGGGTGAGCGCTGCCGGGCGGGCGCGGCGGCGGAGGGCCGCGCTGCGCCGAGAGGGGCGGGAGGCGCCGGGCCGGGCCTCGGCGGCGTGACGGGCAGAGAGCGCAGCACGGTGCGGGAGCGGTTCAAGGCTTCAGGGGAAAGTAATAAAGTGTCTCCTCCAGAGAGAGGAGCGTGCCGTCCGGAGAACCCGATACACGGGCTGTCTTGGGCGGGCTGTAACTCCAAGCGAAGAGAACCCGACTGCGCTCCGTTATTAACCCTTCTTCATAAATCTCCGTTGTTCCCCAGTACGGCTCCTGGCCAGCGGCCGCGGGTGCCGAGGCTCCCGGAGAGCTGCCGGCGAGGGCGGCGGGGGGCCGGCCGGCGACTTCCCCTCTGCTGCGGAGCGCGAATCGCGACATACGGCGGTCGGCAACCGCGGGGAGAAAAAGCGTTTTGGCCTCTGTCACCCCTGGGTGACAGAGGAGCGGGCGCTGACACGCGACTGGTGTGTCTCACTTGGAAATGGAGGGTAGCGGCCATTCCTGGCTCGGACAGAGCCCGGGCCAGCCCCGCTGGCCGCCCCTCCGCGGAGCCCGGCGCAGCCCGGCTGGGCCGCCCAAAGGCCGGGCCGGTGAGAAGCCCCGGCCCGCCCCGCGGGTCTTTTTCCGGGGCAGAACCTGTGAATAAAGCGAGAAACGTGGCTTATTTTGCTCGTATAAATCCCCCCCCCCCCCCCCGGAGCTAATTAAATTCCTTCCCGGGAGCCAGGGATTCGTGCGGCTCTGCCGCTGCCAGGGCGCGGAGCAGCCCCGCGCCGGCCGCCGCCGCGCCACGCACACAGCCCAGGGGGTCGTTTCACTGGTTTATTTCACATTGAAGTTTAGATACAATCGAAATCCTCGTACGCACCTTTTAATAAAAGTAGTAATCTCTCTGAGTACTGCAAAATTATAGCATTTACATCTTTAAAAGACGGTAAACAAAATAATACTAGCAAATAAATAATCCTAGCATCGAAGTATACATTGTCAGGTGTTTTTAGACGGCCGTATAAAATGCGATCTGATTTATAGAATATAATACAGATAAATGCTATAAATAAGTGGATATTAGAGGCGGCGGGAAACTTCCTAGCGACGGGTTCGCTTGGGCTGCCGGCACCGCCCGCGGGGCTTGCGTGACCGCGCCGAGCCGCCGGGCTTGCGCGGACGCTGCGGGTGGGGGGGGGGGGGGGGGGCTGCGGCCGCGGCCACAACAGCACCCGCGGGGGCTCCCCCGTCCCACTGCAGCCCCGCCGCCCCAGCGCCGGGACTGCGCCGAGCCTCCTCCCCCCGCCTACCTGCATTGAGAAACCTTCTTTCTGGTTAAGAAAAATAAAAGTTCCATTTAAACTTTATTGAATTAAAGCAAAAATTAATTTTCAATATTCACACATATATTACAGAGTAATAGTAAAAGTTCAATATACTTCCTGGCGTTTAGTTGGGCCACATTGTACAAGAGCAAAACAAGCATCAAAACATTTAGCAGCCTTAAATTTCACAATCACTCAGAATTACATAGAAATATTGAAATACTCTAGTCAGCCTTGGCTGTGAATATTTCTTCGTGTAGAAATTTTTCCTTTTGCCAGCCAGTACACAGCAAGAATTGCATTTTCCCTTCCGTCATGGCATCCATGTATTCAAAAATACTTTGCCTTTTTTTTTTTTTTTAAAAGTTAAACTCAGAGAAAGAGTCAAGATTAACATGTTTTAAAAACAAAACTACAAAATATGCTGTAAAGGACAATGAAAATATCTAAAGTCTACTTGTGTGAGGCAGAAACCATGGGGGAACGATGGCAGATTACACCAGTGACACAGAGATGGGAACTAATTTTGTGGGAGGAGAGAGAAGAATATAAATGGGGGTTTGATCAATTATAGTGTCTCCTGCCTGTTGGCTGCAACACAACAAAAATAAGTAGTAATTCTTCAAAGCAGATGTACACAAGCCTAAGCGGGATTTAGCTTCCTTAATATTTGAATGTAAAAAGTCTGCTGTCCACGACTCTTTAACCCCAGCTATGACTTGAGAATTCATAAGAGATCTCTCCCTTTTCTTGGACGAGAAGTGATTTAAAGTGGGAACACTAGAAATCCAGAGAATGTCGAATACTTCCAGCCTCCCATCAAGTTTCCTCTCTCCAGTTTTAGATAAGCTCTGTCTCCTTTCTCCATCTGAATCAGGACTCCATTGCTAGCAGCTTCTCGGGTCACATCTTGGTCCCCTGCAAAGGCAGAAATCACTGGCCACCCATTTAGCATCAAACTCACCTAAAGAGCAAGATAAAACAAAGCCCTCCGTCAATTAAAGTCATACAACGACACCGCCGGGGCTCGCCGAGCAGGCAAAATGCTTAGTTAAGTAAGGGCCTCTTTTGACAGCTGAAACTCCAGCCCCATAAAAATGAAATATCAATCTGAACCCAGCTAAAGTATGTACTCCAAAGGAAGAAGCCTTTCACTGCTGTTTTAGACTGACAATCACATCAAAACACCCAGTGCATATAAAACAGGACATTGATCCTATTTTGAAGGATTTCAATAGGGTGCCTGTGTTTTCAGGCTATGAAAAGAGGTCTGCTCGTACTTATTGAAAGATGGCTTTATGCGAAACCTCAGAGACAGCTAGGAGCAGAGCCACAGCCGCCAAAGTCAGCGCGTTTGAAGTGTATTCAAGAGGTAGTTTTCCTTTGTTAGGCAGCAAAGACAATATGCCACAACACAGTCAATAAGCTCTGCTCAGCTCGCACTAATGATCCCGGGACTGCGTACCCCACATTAATAATACGCTCCCTGCCCAATCTAGATGTGCGAAGCCACTTACACCAGAACGGTGCTGTAGAGCTGTACGTTCACCTTTGCAATGTGCATCGCTACGCGGACAGATTTCCAGTCTAGGTTGTGCTACCTGGCTTCAGGCCGGTAATTTATTATCCCTACCTGGAGGTGCGTACGCATCGAACCACATACAAAAGACGCGTATTGGGTAGCTGCATACACACACGCTGAGCTACGTTCATTATCGTATCCATGCCATAGGCGCCTCCCTGCACCCCAAATCCCTACGAAACCTTCTGCCACGCGAGAGCGGCTGAGGAGCCCGCCGGGGGCCGCGGCTCCCAGGGGCTCTGTGCAGAGGTCCCCCCCCCCCGCCAGCACTCGGCGGCTCGGGGCGGCCCGGGGGCCCGGGCAGCCTGGGAGGGGAC